CACACACACACACACACACACACACACACACACACACACACACACACACACACACCTTTCTATACTGTGGTGTTTATCTCAGTACTCATATATAATGTTATAGTTTGTTCATGAAGTTACACACAGTTACACAGTTACTGTTTTTCAAACCAAAAGTCACGTATTTAATTTATACAAACTTAACTTGTTAGTTGTGAAACCCCCCCCCCACACACACACACACACACACACACACCCCTTTCATTTGAATATATTATTGTTCTGTAAACAGTGACAGAGTTGGGCAGGTTGATGCCTTCAGGGGCTGTAGGAAATACTAACACCACACTAATGTGATAGGTTATTTGGCCTGTGTCAATCAAATCAGGAAAGACTCACACAGTCAAAGTCCATCTGTTTCCTCACACAGCTGATCAGCGGATCGATTACTTTGATTTGTTTAGCCTCAGGTTTTTTCCTCTTTTATTTGTTCAATCTCTCCAGATGTGACTTTGCCCCTTGGTCTGGAGGTGGAGCTGCAAGTGCGCTGACTCCACCCCCTCCCTCAATCACAGATCTTTGCACTGATTGGCTGAGAAGGAATGTCAATCATGAGATTCTAAACTCTGCCCGTTGCTGCTCTGGCTGTGCCTCCTCCACAGATAGAGCTGCACCTGGGAAATAAATGTGATGATGTCACTGCTGCTCAGGTACACACACTGTTTGATAACAGATTATTGCTGATCAATAAAACCATTGTGATGTCACAAGAGGTTGTGTCCTGGGTGGTAAATACATTCCTCTCTGATGGCTGCAGTCAACCCCCATACCAAATAGAGGAATGCTCTGTCCCCACCTGGTGGCAGGGAAGAGAGACTACAGGAGCGGAAATTACCCACTTAGCACAGCTGTTAAAGACTGAGTCTGATTCACACAGTCTACTAAAAGCCCGGAGAGAGACACATAGGGAGAGAAGTGTTTGGAGGACAGTGACTGCAGACCAGTGGGTAATGTGTTGAATCAAGGAAATGTATGATGGATTGAGAACTATTTTTTGGGAGACATTTAAGTTACACTGCCAGAGAGACTTTTGTGGAGAATCTGAAGAAGATATTTAAGTTGATTTGTTACTGTTTTCGATGTGACAAAAAGCCCTGTTTTTGTTAATAACTTTGGAAAACCCCAGTAAAAGACTTGATTTGTTTTGAAACGTTTTGTGTTGTGGTCTTCTTGATGCCCATGCCAGACATTCGGTGAGTCAAAAATCTCATGACATCACACCATGAAAATGTTCCTTTACTGTGAAAGCCTCACCTGTCACCTGGGCTTGTCCCTCTGTGACATCACTGCTGACATCATCAGGAGGCCAGCAGAGCTCTCTGCTCTCCACCTCTCTGTCTGTTGGCTCCACCACAATTGACGGGAGGCACCTGGAAGGTTTTGGAAAACGCTCCACGGAGTCTGGAGACACCTGCAGAGGAAGAACCTATCAGAGAGCTTGTTGCTGATGTCAGCTGGACTCACCTGTTGGTGATCCCTGAGCTCACTGTGATGACAGGTCGGTCAAAAGACAAGTCACCTGGAGGGCCACTGTGTCCTCCCCAGAGGCTCTGCCCACCGCTGAGTCACAGGTGTTCACCTTGGTCATCTACACCAGAGAGTGGAGACAGAGAGCAGACAGGAAGCTGAGAGGAGACAAAATAAAAACATTAGCACGCTTGTTAGCACACTGGTTAGAACACTGTTAGAACATTGTTAGCACACTGGTTAACACAGGTTAGCAAACTGTTAGCACACTGCTAGCATACTGGTTAGCATACTGCCAGTTCCTGTGAATGGAGCGGTTTGTTTCAGGAGAGGACTGAACTGTGATGAGCCAAGACCAGCATGTGAATGTGTTCTTGACAGGGTTCCAGGGTTTCCTAAGAAGGGTTTCAGGGGTTCGATACAGGTTGTTGTTGAGTTTTGTGGTGGCTGGGGTTCTTCAGAGGGATCCAGGGGTTCTGGTAAATGGTTTAGGGTCTCCTGAGAGGGTCTTCCTGGTGTTCTCCTGCTGTTGTTTCCGTCACTGTCAGATCCTGGTCTGATGTGAGACCTGAGCTCAGACCAGTAACTTAAACCTCTGACGCTCCTGATTATTTAACAGCGTTAATGAGAAACAGAACCTGAACACATCACAGCTGACAAACAGCCCTGTCACCATGACAACCAATGTGTTTTTTAAATGATGTGTCATTGAGGAACTTCTTTACTTCATCATCATCATCATCATCATCATCATCATCACAGACACAGTTCAGTCCTCTTGAAACTCACAACAAATACCAGTTTCATATGAAGAACAGTGACCCACCTGAAGATGATGAAGATGAAGAACGTTTTAAATCTTCAGATGTGAAGCTCGCTGTCGACCAGACGGCTCAGCTCTCGATTCAAATTCAGGTGTGTCTTCGTGTGTGTGTGGGTGTGTTTGTGTGTTTTACATGTCATCCTGATTTGACTCTGGTGTGATGATGATTAATAATATAAATAAAGGGAGAAGATGGGAGGAAGAAAGGATAAGAGAAAGAAAAGGGAAGAACATGAATGAAAGGCAAGAGGCAAGGAGGAAGGGGAGGAGAGGATGGAGAGGGGAGGATGGGGAGGATGGAGAGGGGAGGAGGGGGATGGAGGGGGATAAGAACGAGTGTATAATTTAAAATGAGCTGAACAGTTTCAGACGCCTTCACTTTTTCTTCTTTTATTTTATGAATTAATTCATTTACTTGTTTAATTAAATTTTTACGGGGGGGGGGCTGAAACAGAAAGTGAAAGTGTGAGAGGAGCAGGAGGAGGAGGAGGGAGATGCTCTGAGACTCTTCAGGAGGTTTTCAGACATCAGTCGTCTCAGGCAGAAGATTCTGGATCCTGGTACTGACATTAAACCCTCTGCTGGTTTTGGCTGATCTGGATCCTGGTCCTGAGGATGTGGGTTTCCCTTTTGTCCAGCAGGAGTCAGCAGAGCAGCAGCGGTGAGACCATCTTTGACTCCACATCATGGTTCAGGGCGTTTCTCTGAAACCAGAGAAGATCCAGTGACTTAAGATATGTTTATACATGTTTATATATGTTTATATATGTTTATATATGTTTATATAGCCTATGTTTATTGGAAAAAGGGTTAGGGTACATATAATTGTAATAGTATATTTACAGTGCATATATAAAAATATATAGATGTACTGTATATACTATATACAGTACATCTATATACTGTACATATATATACAGTATATGGATGTACTGCACAACACATTGCTGGTCTGGAGTGGACCTCTGAAGGTCTCTGTGGTGTCTGGCAGCAGGTCCTTGAAGTCCTAGAGGTTTTGAGGTGGAGCTGATCTGGATCAGACTCCAGATACTTGATCTGGATCAGATCTCTGAGTCTTCTTCCCACAATGCATCCTGGTGGACCAGGTCAGCATGGAGACTCTGGTCTGGACTGAGACGTCCGGATGTGCTGCATCATCTGAATTAGCAGTGACGTCACACAGGAGCCCGTGTGTTACAGGAAACCAGACCGCGAGCCGCCTCCTGCATGTTTAATGAGCCGATACCTCAAACGTGTTTAAACCCGCCCCTCTCCTCCGCGCCGTGCAGTCAGAGAATCAAACGACGGAGAGATGAAAGGTAGGAAGAAGCTGCGGGACGTCGATTATACTTTAAAACTTCGCTTTAATGTGGGTGTTTTATTCTGAAGGAGTTGATTCATTTCCGCTCAGGAGAGACGTTTTCTGCGCATGAACAGTTAAAATTTGAAACGTCATTAATGGATCAAAAAGTTTGAAGAAAAGAAAAGCTCGACATTAAAATCACACGTGATAATCTGCTGCTGTGTTTACAGATGTTACAGATGTTGATTGTTTCAGATGTTGATTATTTACAGATGTTACAGATGTTGATTGTTTACAGATGTTACAGATGTGTCTTCACTGAAGGTTCAAGTCCTTATTTAAAACTTGGACCACACTTCAAAAACTTTTGAACTTTAAATTAAATTTCAGTTAATGTGTTTATTTAACGTTTGTCTTGGACGTTCCGCCTCCTGAGTCAAATGTTCTCATTCAGTTCTCCACAGAACACTGGCTGCAGAATGTGAAATGTTTTATCTTTATTATTCTAACAATGTTGTGAATAAAGTTGGTGTTGAATGTTCAGCAGGAGGTAATGAGCGAGGAGAAGAGAGGAGGAGACTGCCAAAAGTGAAGAACCCCACTAAATTCTGGAAGAACCGCAGAAAGCAGAACCACAACCACACTGAAGGTCAGAACCATGTAAAACCAACAGAACCTCATCAAATCAGAACCAATAGAACCTCATTAGGTCAGACCCAGTTGATCATCAGGTCAAACTCTCATCAGGTTAGAACTTTGTCAACTAGAACCAACACAACCTTAAGTGGAACAGAGAAACTACTCTTCTTCTCAGAACCAGAGGACTGTGAACTAGAAATAGCAAATCAGCAGCTAGAACCCAAAGAACTTCAGGTAGAACCAACCCACCTTTAGCTAAAACCAACAGAACCCCAAGCAGAACTAACAGAACCCCAAGCAGAACTAACAGAACCTCACTAGGACCAACACAACCACAGCTTGAACCCACAGAACTCAACTAGAAGTTACAGAACTTTCTGTGAAAACAAAGTGAACCCCAGCTAGAACCCATAAACCAACCTGCAGAACCTCAGACCAGAACCTCATGTAGAATAAGCTTAATCTCAGATAGAACCAGCAGAACCACCACTAGAACAAACTGAATGTTACATTTGAACGAAGGGAACGTGAGGTGGAACCAACAAAACGTCTGATAAAACCCAGAGAACCTTAATGTTCATCTGAATCATCCGAATAAACTCGAACCAGTAGAACCTTACATACTACCAAGAACTTAAGATAGAACACAGTAATGACCACAAGTACATCAGATGGAATATAGAACATTATGTGGCCCAGTCCAGATCTCTCAGTGAACTGTTCCAGCTTCTCTTCTGTAGTCTCCCACAGGTCGAGGTTCTCCAGGAGAACTCACTCATCAGTCAGTTGTTGGTGGTTTAAACCGGTTCTCCACTGTGTCTAAGCAGACAGTGAGGTAGACGGTGTGGAGGAGCAGCGGGAGGAGCTGCTGGAGGAGGTCAGCAGGAAGCTGATCCTCAGGGAGGAGCAGCTCTTCACTCAGGACTGTCCCAGTGAGGACGAGGACCAGCTGCACAAAGACCTGGAGGACCTGAAACTGCACATCTGGATGGCGGTCCACAACACCTTCACCTCCCCCTCCTCCTCAGAACAGCTTGACGTCCTGAGGAGTGCCATGGCCTCAGTCCAGCAGCAGGAAGTGCAGGACCGGCGCTGGACGGAGACAGGTCCTGAGGACAGGTTCCCGGCATGGCGTCCTCTGAGGTGCCTCAGCACTCATAACACTCTGCTGCAGAACATGGTGGAATCCAGACTAACGAAGGCTGCGGAGGACGAGTCGAGTGGAACCAACAGACTTTCCTCACCCCTGAAGAGGGAGGTGAGTCCACGAAAACCACAAAATACATAAAGTAAAAGGAGGGTTGTATCAGACCGGGAGCCGGTTCCACAGTGATCTGACAGATCAGTCTGATGTCAGTCAGAAAAATAAAGACTGACTCATTTTAAGGCAGAAACATCAGACACCTCCAGACTGACTCAGGTCTGAGACCAGTGTTACCATGGTAACAATCAGTGACACCTGCACTGACCAGTAGCATCCAACAACAACAAACAGGAAAATATGGCTGATAATTTTTGGTTTGCTAATGTCATTATAGAGAGAGCCAAGACAAGGGAAATAGTTTTTAGAGACAGCAGCCATTTTGTCTTTATTGTTTCTCTCTTCAGTAAAACGTGTTGTAAAACAAACATGTTCTGCTGAAGGTAAACAGAGCTCAGTGGTTAGATGTGGATCCTCGGTTAGCCTCTGAAGTCTGTTTGTTCTATGACACAGTCAGTCTGTCTTTGAGAACCCTGGACTCAGACCTGTCTCTGCAGGTGTGTTGTCTGGGGAGACGTGTGAGGGACGACCTGCTGATGGTGGCAAGGACGGTGAAGGACTGTTACCCTGCAAACATGGACATCCTGAACATCTATGCCGCCCTCTACCATCAGAGGTTCTCGGCTCGGCTGACTGAACTCGCCTCGTCTGGACTGGGAATGGACGACTGCAGCTACCTGCTGTTCTGGGTCAACCACTGCTACCCACAGTGAGTCTCACCTAAGGATCTGAGGATCTGGTTCATAGGGGAGCAAAAGGTCACTAAGAGAACTGAGAGATTGGTTCTGACCTTGGTTCTGGCTTACACAAAAAGTCCTGATGTGATCTGCAGCAGACTTGTGGAGGGATGGGTCCTGGTCCGGGGAAGAACCCGTTAGGTTTTAGTGCTGATCCAGTTAAAGGGGTGGATCCAGTAGTTTTTTTTTTTTTTTATCTCCCTCCTTAACATTGAAATTTTAGTCAGTTTCCAAGTAAAGTTTGAATCTTGATGTAAAATGTGATGACGTCAGACTCAGATTTCATTGGTTCAGACTCATTGGGCCTCATTCACCAACCATTCTTAAGAAGAAATTCCTTCTTAAAACCCACTTACACACTTTTTACGAAGATTCTGACATTCACCAATGTTTTCTTAGTTGGGATTTGTTCTTAGGTGAGAACAGAATCTATGCACACTCAAGAGCTCTCTTACGCACATTTGAGTGCTGCCATGTTTGAACAAAATAAGTGGTTATTGTGTTTTCTTCGGTTCTACAGTTATATTATAGGCCTATTATATTATTCAAATTAAAATAATATTTTTGTCATTTATAATATTTTTTTTAAAATAACTTGTTCTGCAGTTTAAGAACATGTTCATGAATCTGACGTAGAGTTTTCTTAACAACTTAAGACAGAATTTTAGAAAATACTTAAGAAGATATTGGTGAATGAGGCCCAATGTTACTTTTTTCTGCTGCAGCTGTTCATGTGAAAATCTGCGACTGTCTGGGGCCACAGGTGGTCCGGAACCAGTCCGGGGCCAAAGTGTGTGGAACCTCAGGTGTGTCTGTGTTTCCTCCTTAGTGATATATTAGAACATGAAGACCTGGAGGGAAAGATAAAGACGGCCTGTCTGGGTTCTCTGCTGCTGCAGAATCATCTGAACCAGCTGGAGAACCAGTACTTAACCCACAAAGAGGTCAGAACCAGCAGAACACTGATCTAATTTAATGTTCTGCTACTTTGTTGAACTAATTTGATTTGGAAAGGTGACATCACAGAACATCACAGAACACTACAGAACACCAGAAAAACATCACAGAACATCACAGAACACCACAGGTGACATCACAGGTGACATCACAGAACATCACAGAACATCACAGAACATTACAGGTGACATCACAGGTGACATCATCATGTCTGTCCTTCAGGACCAGGTGAAGCTGTGGCTTAACACTGCGTTAAAGAAAGAAGAGGAGAGCTGGTTGAGCGGCAACATGCCTGAACTCATTGACAGCTATTACTTCAGCCCGCTGGCCGTAGATGTCATACAGGTGAGACAGAGTCAGCACAGGTGAAACACAGGTGAGAGGTTTTAACAGGTGATGATATGTGGTGGTGTTTGTGTCTCCAGGTAGTGAACAGCTTCCTGACTGAGTTCACCTGTGTTATAAGAGACCAGAGCAAAACTCAGAGGATCACAGCTCACTTGGAGAACTTCCTCATCAGGTAGTCCACGCCCACCACACACAGCACGGCCAGCAATCTGTTGATGAGTGTCAACACATGTGACATGTGTTCCAGCTACAAGAAGAGCATGGAGGAGTTTGTGAGGGGAAACCATGGCAACGCCCACTCTGTGATCAAAGCTCATCTGGTCTGTGAGGAGCAGTTCAGGTGATTGATTTGACTTTGATTACCTGCATGTACTGATGATGTAAGGGCTGACCTGTTCTCTGCAGCTGATTGGCTGTATCTGACTCTCTTCAGGGATTACATCACAGGTGAAACAGGAAGTCTGTCTGAGCAGCAGAGACGACGCTGTCTGGAAACACTGTCTGCCCTGAGAGATTGTGGGTACAGGTATTTCACCTGTCCCATTGACGTCCAGCTGAAGGTACAAATACTTTGTGTACTGATGTCACTGTAGTGATGTCACCTGCATCTGTCCAGGTGTGTTACAGTCACCTGTGTGTGTCCAGGTGTGTTACAGAGACCTGTGGACGTCTGTCTGGTTGGACGGCTCACTTCCTGTCGTCTCCTCTCTGCTGGACTCTCTGAGCCGACACCTGAGGGACCTGACTGACCTGAAACCGGCCTGCAGGCAGGTGAGACGGTGTTTACCTGTTTACCTGTCTGTTTCCCACCTGTCTCTCTCACCACCTGTCTCTCTGTCCCTCCAGTCCCTGCTGAGTGTCGTCCATCAGGACGTGGTTCTTCGGTACGTGAAGAGGATGATGAAGACCAGGATGAAGAGCAGAGAGCAGCAGGGGGGCGGAGCTCAGCGGATGAAAGAGGATGCTCAAATGATCAACGACTTCTTCAGAGAGGGGGTGAGACGTGCACACACACACATGTGCACGCTCAGACAGACAGACAGACAGACAGACAGACAGACAGAGCTACTTCCTGGTCAGACATGGGGGGGTGCAGCTAAAACCAGTGTCATGAAGTGACATGAAAATGTGGGACCAGTATAAATGATGGTTTGTTTCCTGAGCTGACTGACCCGGTCTCATAAGAACCCACGTGGACTGTCTCGGTCTCATCTGTCCTCAGGGCTGCAGCGGGTCCTTGTGGCTCGGGGAGGTTCTCTCCAGCATCGCCGAGGTACTCCATCTGCAGGATCCAGGAAGTGTTCAGCTGGAGATGGTCAGTCTGGCCAGGACGTTCCCAGACCTCAGGTACGCAGACGTGATGGGCTCTCACCTGTTACAGGTGACAAGTCAGATGAGTCTGTATTCAGTCACACGACCAGGTGATGTCATGACGATGTGTTTCCAGCTCTGTCACACACTGTCGGACATTTTGAGAGTCCAGGTGAGGTGCGGGTGCAGGTGTGGACATGAACGCTGATGTGTCTGCTACATGCTAACATGCTACATGCTAACATCAACATGTCCAGCTGAGGCTAATGGAGAGTCGTTAGTTCTGAAGGTGAGGAAACACTGGGTCACTTCCTCTTTAGAGACTGACAGAGTCCAGATCAGACCAGCAGATGAACCTGAGGTTTATGATGTCACAGATGAAAACAGTCACATGACGAGGTTGATCAGAAGACCAGCATCGTGTCTCTGGACCAGGACAGTCAGGACCAGAGACCTCTTGTGTTCAGGTCATCTCATTCTCATGAACCTGAAATGTCCATTTGGACTCAGGGATGACCTGATTAGATTCTAATGTTCAAAGGTTAAAGGTCACGGTGACATCATCACTCTGCAGAAACATTATTCAACTCTATAACTGGCTGGAACCAGTGAAGATGATGATGTCAGGACATCTACCTGTGCTCACCTGTCTCATATACAAACACTGACGCACTGACTTGGATCTGCTGTGTGAGAAAAACCTGGTTGCTGTGGAGACGGCAGGTGTGGCCGTGTGGAGCTCAGGTGTCACAGGTGTGTGAAGAAATGGAAAAGTACTGAGAGGATTCATGTTCACTCTGTGTGTGTCTCTGTGTGTGTGTGTATGTGTGTGTGTGTGTGTGTGTGTCTGTGTGTGTCTGTGTGTGTGTGTGTGGACCTGATATTGAATCTGTTCTGTCTCGTCTCTCCTCAGTGACGCTCACGTGTCGGCACTGCTGTCTCTGAAAACCGACCTATCAGCTGCTGACGTTCGCTCCATCAGGAAGAGTGTTGAGGAGAACCGCCTCTTCGATGTCTCCACCAATCAGAGCCCTCCGTTCTTCTCCAAGGTCAAAGTAAAATGGATCGATAATAAGATCAATAAGATGGGACTGTAGAGCATTTTAGCTTGTTAGCCAGTTAGCATTTTAGCCTATTAGCCTGCTAGCAGAACCACTCAGTATCTATGTATCTAATGACTGATGTGTTTGTTTATGTTGTTAGAACTGAAGGATGTAAACAGTATTTATCCAACAGTCAGTTCTGAAGTGATCTGATTGGACAAGTCATTCCATGAAGCTGCTGCACTTTTAACTCCATGTATCACTCCTCTTCACAGCTCATCTATTAACCGTTAATCAGCGTCACATTAACGTCGTTATCTATCTCAGATTGTAACAAAGATGAAAATATTTCATATAAATATATCTGTTCATCAGGAGAGGATGAAGGAAGAAGGTGAATCCTTCAGAGACACCTGAGGGAACGAGGAGGCGAGGTAGCAGCTAGTGTCACTGTGCAGGTCAGGAACATGTTTATGTGTTGCTTAGCAACAGTCCAGTACCGGTCCAGGATCTATTTGTGTTGGTGTAGACAAATCAATGATGAAATAAACAAACTAATCATAATCTGTTGTTGCTTATTGAACTAAGATGGTGCTGGTACAATTGTTGTTACCACTTCACAGCTTAACAGCTGATTTATTTTTTGATCAATATTTAAGCAATATCAAGTCAATCATCATTTATTAATGAGTAAGTAAAAGGCTCCCACCAGTTATTGATGGTAGTAACTCATTAATTAATTGGTCAGATTATTGAGTAATCAGCATTAACTTGATTTCGCCAAGTAGTGAGCCGGCATCAATGAAAACTGTTATCGCCTGTTTTTGATTATTTATTTATGATTTATAAAGGGTTAATAACCTAATTAATAACTGATTATAAACCCTTTATGAGGCTACTCTTATTGCGAAGTGATACATGACTGTTGTATAAAAGCTGCGGCGTTGTACCCATGACCGAATCACAGCCGAGCTGATAGTCAGGACATCATTCACTCTGTGATATTGCTTAAATATTGATCAATAAATAAATCAGCTGTTAAATAAATCAGTACTGATTGATTATTAACAGTGTGGATGAGTTCTCAGTCTGTCTCCTCCTCATTCCTCAACAACCATCAGACTGTCTGTCCGAGCTGCTCTGGAAACTTTCCAAACCCTCCCTGAAAAAAAATATTTCCAGCCTCAGGTCTGTGCTCCAGGAAAAACAGTTCCAGATGGATCTCAACCCCCAACCCTCCTCACCTCCCTCCATCATCATCATCAGCATTATCACACAGGATTCATGTATCTGCCTCAAACATCCAGAGTCACTCCTGGTGGTTGTACAGCCTGTCTCTGTTAAGGTCAGATACAGAGATCACAGTTTGATCACAGACATTGAGGTGGTGCACACTTATAAATACCAAGGTGTGCACTTGGACAGTAAACTGGACTGGTCCCTGAACACAGATGCCATCTACCTGAAGGGGCGGAGCCGGCTCTTTTTCCTCAGGAGGCTCAGGTCCTTTGACGTCTGCAGTGAAATGCTGCACGTTTTATCAGTCAGTGGTGGCCAGTGGACTCTTTAATGCTGCAGTCTCCTGGGGCAGCGGCATGTCAGACACAAACACAAAGAGACTTGACAAGCTGGTCCAAAAGGCTGGGTCTGTGCTGCAGGAGTCTGGACTCACTCAGGACTGTTGTGGAGAGATGTATGCAATGTAAGATGGAGGCCATCTTAATCAATACCAACCATCTATCTATCTATCTATCTATCTATCTATCTATCTATCTATCTATCTATCTATCTATCTATCTATCTATCTATCTATCTATCTATCTATCAATCTATCAGTTTGCTATAATGTTTAAACCTGAGGACGGAAACAGTCACTGAACATTAGATCCAACAGTTACAATAGGAAATGACCTGACGCTCATATTAAAGAAGAGAAGACGAAAGATCAGGTTCATCTTCATGTCAGTGAAGTCATCAATAATCAATGATCATCTGTTAATGTCTGCTGCCCCCTGCTGGTTAAACACTGAAGCTGTATCACAGCAGCATGAGGCTCGAACAGTTGCTGGTGACTGACACGAGGCGGGAAAGTCCCACTGATACACACATCAGGTAGTGTATCAGTGGGACTGCGGTGCTTCCTACTGTCCACTCTGTCCAGTCACCCTAGCAACAACAAACGCTGCCGCTTAGCCCGATCAACCAATCACATTCCGCGCTGCTGTCGACGTCACATCCTGTCAGCGCGCTGGGTTTGGTTAGTCCTCCATCTTGGCTTTGGCTAGCGGAACGGCTAGCAGAGTCTGTCCGGAGAGGATGAGGAGGAGCTGAACGGAACGGGACCCACTGCCCGACTCACAGAACCAGGATCGTCCCCCTGACCTTACCCGAGACAGAGACCGGCAGGCGGATCTGGACCCGCTCTGGACCGAGAAACACACACCCGGTTCTGCCGGGCTGCTAGCGAGCTAGCCGGGTTACCTTAGCCAGCAAAGAGGAACTGTTGCTCCGGGTCACTTCGGATCGATGTCGGTTAAAAACTGCCGGAAAAGAAGCCGAGCCGAGCTGAGCCGGGCCAGATAACGCTCTGGTCCCGTAGCCAGGACTGGAGCCAGTGATGCCGGGTGAAAACCTGCTGATAAACGCGACCTGAAGCGAACGAAGCCCACAGACAGTCCGCTAAGTTTAGACAGGTGTTCAGGGGCGGACAGGCGGCTTCATGACCGAACCTCTCTCACACTGACCCGGGTAACATGTCCGCCAGGACCCCCCTGCCCACTGTCAACGAGCGGGACGCCGAGAATGTGAGTTTAACTCTCAATCTGTTTGAACTGTTGATGTAGCTAAAAGTATGCCACCAACGGACACATTAATCATTCAAACCCTGTACAGTCCTCATTAAGGGCTGATACCACGAAGCCCTTAATTTATGGATCATTCCTGGATTACACGGTATCAGTGTGAACACACCCGGCAGGTGGGTTCCCGGTTCGCTTCAAAGGTTTCCAGGTGTTTCCAGGTCAATCAGTGTGGGTCCTGTCCTGGAGGAGGGTTCAAGAGTCCTTGGGAAGGTTTGTAGGGTCCCTTAGAGGGTTCAGGTGTCTCAGGAGGTATTACAGTGCTCCTGAAGTGGGCTCCAGGGAACCAGGGTCCACTACCCACGAGACGGATACCTCATCCGTGCCTGGTAAGTTTTCAGTGTCTCCAAAAGGGGTTCCAGGAGTCCCAGGTGGTGCTCTGGTGCTGCTGTAGTGAGGACCAGGAGTCCACTAGGAGAATTTCATTCATTCTTGGAGATGTTCTGGAGAAGTTTTGAAGAGCAGCTAAGAGGCCTTTACCTGAAGTGGAGGATGTCTCAGTAAGTGTTTAAAGTTTCTCCTTGAGGAGGTGTTGGGTCCAGGTTTGAGAAGATTTGAGGGTGACAGTATGTCATTTTCATGGTAATGTAAATATGACAGTACAGTAAATGTTCTGTACAGTGATTGGCTGAACAGCGCCATGTAACCGGTGCCGTTATAATAGACACGCTATGTCAAACTTTAATCATCCTCAGTAATTTGTAGCTTACAGGTCCGGGTCTAGATGGGACTCTGTCTGGGTCTGACCCAGACCAAGGTCCACCTGTTAGTGACCTCAGCACTAATGGATAGGTGCTAACTGTTGAACGGTATTATCACATCACCCTGCGGTCCTGAGGGTTCTGTTAGAGACTGAGTTGGAGGCTGGGGGAGGGTTCTGTGATTTTTTTCAGGACCTAACTGGGTTCCAGGTGGATCTGTGGCAGGTCCAGAAGCTCGCTCAGAGGGTTTAAGGGCTCCATCATGAGGTTCTGGATGGAGGAGGTTTGAATGTTCTTCTCCTGTGGTAGAACTTGATTATGTTTTTACTGTGGTTATTTTTTCAGCTGTGTAGATCTGTGCTGGGTGTAGCTGTCAGACAGCAGGGCTGCAGAGACCGTTGGAGGTTCTCCAGGAGGTTCCAGGAGTTCTTGCCACAGTTGTAGGGTCATGTAGAAAAACGACCTGCAGTGAGAGGGCCCTGCCTCGTAATATGAATAATAATTTTACAGTGAATAATGTTCAAATGAAGCAGTTGTATCTACCTGTATGAAGCAGGTGTATCTACCTGTATGTCACTACCTGCTCCAGGTCCTTCTCTGTCATTCAGTGCTGTAGTCCAATCAGAGTGCAGCTTGTGATGTAGGAGCTGTGATTGGTCACATGTCTGTAGCTGAAACCCTGAATGGACGAAGCCTTCTCAAAGTCAAGCTGCTGTAAGCTGAACCCAACAGACTTTACTTATGGATCAATCAGTGATTTATCGATTGATTATTTTCTCACTGGACAGTAGAGACACGTGTTGACACTTGTCCTCGGGGACGTTTTCAGATGTCTCAAAGAGATCCAGACCAACATGTAGACGTCTGTGGACTCTTCAGTCATGTGGTTTGTGGCTGATCTGGATCAAAATAAGAACCAGACCACATTCTCATAATAAAAATGTTTAATATTTATTGATCAGATAGTGGTTAGTTAATTTTTATTCCTCCACACCACCGACAGTCAGAGTGGCAGCCATTTTGTTTTCAGGTTTTCCTTCCATCTCATTCTCATGGACACAATATCTGTCTCTGTTGTGCTGATTGTTGTAATTCTCTTCATTCTGGAGAGTAGTGGACAGGCCCTGCAGCCCAGCCAATCAGAAGCCATCTCCATGTGTCACTGTTATTTCTCCGCCCGGCAACAGGCAGCGCGGCAGCCATTTTGTTTTCAGGTTGTCTGTCCGCCTCATTCTCGTGGACGTGATATCTCGGTAACATTTCGACTGAACTTCTTCAGATTTGGTACAAACGTTCACCTGGACTCAAGGATGAACTGATTAGATTCTGTGGGTCAAAGGTCGAGGTCACAAATTGCAGTTTTGGCCTTGTAAACACAACATCTTGAACACACATTCGTGTTTTGCAAAAGAGGTTATTCTAGTTTAATGGATGGTTTCAGTGTCAGGAGTGAGGCGTGTCAGTCTGCCCTCGTCCTGTTCATTGATCATTGATCAGCTCGTTGATCAACGTGCTCTCTGGTGTGAATGGTCACAGTCTCTGACTCAGCACATGAAGATGTCTCTGCTCATCAACCTGATCAGTTCAAACTGTATCTGAGTCTCCGTCTCTGTGTGATGTTTATTTTTCCCAGCATACTTCAGCGGATGATGGGCGTGGCGAGGCGTCCCGCTCCGTCCGCTCAGCTCGCTGTAAAACCTCGTCGTCCACCGCCGGAGACGAGACGCCGCACGTGGGAAACTACCGGCTGCTGAAAACCATCGGGAAAGGAAACTTCGCTAAAGTCAAACTGGCTCGACACGTCCTGACGGGACGAGAGGTGAGACGCAGACCGATCAGTCCAGAGTCCAGCACACAGAGACCTGAGTCCTGACTGTCCTCTCTGTGACCCTGACAGGTGGCCGTCAAAATCATCGACAAGACCCAGCTGAACCCCACCAGCCTGCAGAAGGTGAGACACATTCTGGACCCGGTCTGCTTGTAGGTCTGACTGTGGTTTTAGAGTAAAAGAGTCTTGACGACCTCACATACTCTTAAATCCAGATCCAGGATAAACGTCATAAACCAGATCAGAAATTACTCTGAACCACTGAGTCAGAAAGACATGGACCTGCTGTCCAGGTTATGATTAGTTATTGATTAACCACTCACACTCACTCTGGGACATCTTTGATCAGGACCTTAGAGACCAGTGATCCACATCTATGGATCTGATGTAGGATTGAGATGATGGAGCAGCAGAGAGCTGTCAGGTGGACTTTCAGGTCGTCATGACGATAATCAATAACCAGGTTTAAAGATCTTCAGACTGATGGAGGACCTCTGTCACTCCCATTAGGAACCAGTTCATATGGACCTAACTGTGGTCTGACCCGGGTCAACAGGGAGGTCCTAGTCCTGGTCCAGACTGGCAGTGATGTGACCCCCCTCAGACGTGACTTTGATCATGTGACCTGATGTTTCTGTGTTTGTCTCTCAGCTTTTCAGAGAAGTCAGAATCATGAAGATCCTGAACCACCCCAACATTGGTCAGTCTCACAGACACACAGATACACACGCACACGCACACGCACACACACACACACACGCACACGCACACGCACACGCACACGCACACGCACGCACACGCACACACACACACACACACACACACACACACACACACATACACACACACACACACACACACACACATACACACATACACACACATCGATCTTGTGTCTCACCTGTGTGTCCACAGTGAAGCTGTTTGAGGTGATAGAGACAGAGAAGACTCTGTACCTGGTGATGGAGTATGCCAGTGGAGGTCAGTCACACCTTCAGATCCAACTCTGACGTGATTTGTTGACCTTTGACCTGCGTCAGGTTCACTGTCTCTCTGTGTGCAGGTGAAGTGTTCGACTACCTCGTAGCTCATGGGAGGATGAAGGAGAAGGAGGCCAGAGCTAAATTTAGACAGGTAACACACACTGCTGTTACCATGGTAACAAAATGGAGCTAACTGCATCCCATAATACAACAGTGAAACAAATGGAAAGTCTGGTTCACTAACTCTCTCTCTCTCTCAGATTGTGTCTGCAGTTCAGTACTGTCATCAGAAGCACATAGTTCACCGTGACCTTAAGGTAAAACACAGTAACACTCAGGTATCCCAGCTGACATTAAACACATCTTGAACAGCTGGATTCACCCCCCTACTCCTCCTCCTCCCCCTGCAGGCAGAGAACCTCCTCCTCGATGCTGACATGAATATTAAAATAGCGGATTTTGGGTTCAGTAATGAGTTCACTGTCGGTGGGAAACTGGACACTTTCTGTGGCTCTCCTCCGTACGCTGCACCTGAGCTCTTCCAGGTACACTCATTCATTCATTCACTCACTCATTCACTCATTCATTCATTCACTCACTCATTCACTCGTTCATTTATTCACATGTTCATTTATTCACTCATTCATTTATTCATTCATTCATCTATTCAATCAGTCATCAGTCAGTCAGTCATCAGTCAGTCAGTCATCAGTCAGTCATCAGTCAGTCAGTCATCAGTCAGTCAAACAGTATACCTGTGGTTGTCAGGAGCTCCACAGTGTGTTGTGTGTGTTTCAGGGTAAGAAGTATGACGGTCCAGAGGTGGATGTGTGGAGTCTGGGTGTGATCCTCTACACTCTGGTCAGTGGATCTCTGCCGTTTGACGGACAAAACCTCAAGGTCAGTAACAGACAGAGAAGGAGCCTCTGGTGTTTCTGTCCGAGCATATAGAGATTTAAAGGAACAGTCCAATGTTTTCTGTCTTCATCAGAGTCAGCTGATCTTTATAAGTCACGGACAGAGACAGGTTGACGATAGGTCTTGCATAGCTTAGCATAGTCTGGAAGCTAGCTCCCTAAAGACAGAAATAATACACCTTCATCTATTAGTCTGAGCTCTGAACAGTGGTACTGTTCCTTTAAATGACAGATGGGGACAGTGTCTTGTGGTCCAGCTGTGATGTCTGTGTTTCTGTGTGTAGGAGCTCAGAGAGCGAGTGCTGAGAGGTAAATATCGAATCCCCTTCTACATGTCGACTGACTGTGAGAACCTGCTGAAACGCTTCCTGGTGCTGAACCCGGGGAGACGGGGAACTCTGGAGGTTAGCAGACATCAGAAATACATCACCAATGCATAATCAATACATCATCAGACATCAGAAATACATCACCACTGGTGCTGAACAGTAAAGGAACAGTACAGGACCCTGTGGAACTGGTGTCAGTGTTGTTGTTTCCCCTTCAGCAAATCATGAAGGATCGCTGGATCAACGCCGGTTCTGATGAAGAGGTGCTGAAGCCCTTCATCGAGCCGGAACTGGACATCAGGGACCAGAAGAGGATCGGTACACACCCACAGTCAAATCCACCAGTTAGAGTCCAGTTAGAGTCCAGTTAGAGTCCAGTTAGAGTCCAGTTAGAGACCAGTTCCACTCCAATCCAGTTAGAGTCTAGTTCTGGTCCTGGAGCACCTCCTGATGTGTGTGTTGTGTTTCAGACGTGATGGTGGGGATGGGTTACTCTAGAGAGGAGATCAACGACTCGCTCGCCAAGATGAAGTATGATGACATCACAGCCACCTACCTGCTGCTGGGCTGCAGGGCTGCTGAGGTCAGAGGTCACCATGGTAACAGCAGGTGTGCAGACGACAGTGACAGCAGCGGTAACTGATGTGTGTTTGTGTGCAGGTGGAGGTGAGTGACTCGTCATCCTCCAGCTGCGTCTCTCTGCTCAAACCTCGACCCTCCAGCAGCGCTCAGTCTCCTGCTCACCTCCTCGTCCAGCGCTCCTCCTCCTCCTCCTCCAAACAGAGGAGGTACAGTGACCAAGGTACAGACCCGGACCAGCACCTGGTTTAGTCCACATCAGTTTCAGACTGCAGTGTGCTCAGTGACTCCCTCTCCTCTCCTCAGTGTGTCCAGGCTCCTCGGCTCCGCACCCTAGGAGGAGTCAGACGGCGGCGGCGGCAGAGGGGGAGGTGAAGCAAGAGGCAGTAGGTCAGAGCAGGAAGTCCAGTCCTGTGGAGGGCGGCAGTCCTCTGGTGGGAAACGCCAACAACCCCAACATGGCCGACATCCCTGAGCGGAGGAAGACCGTGGCCACGCCCACTGTGAGTTAAGCTGCTAGACAGGTGAAAACAGGTGTGACAGGAAACCTGTAGACAGATAATTTTACCCAGAATTCATTGCTGCCACACAGTCAGAACTCATACCTATAAACTGTTTGTTACTTTGAAGAAAACTTCATTTACAGTCGATGGTTGACAGGATGTAAATGTACCTGTTTATGATCATACTGAAATCAATACAATGATCAATAACTGATATCAGTGATTGTGTTCTGTTTTCAGGTGAGATAACTCATCAATAATAGGGCTGGGTTGAGATCAATAGATTCTCCGATTAAAATTGATCATTTGAATGATCTGATTTCGATTCATAAAAACCTGAGATCCATCTTTTAATACGTCTTTACTCTCCTGTGGACGAGGTCTGGTCCGCTGAGTGCAGGTGTACAGAACAACGCTCCGCCCCTTTTTTGTCATAGTGATGACATAAAACATCTGTAGTTGACAGAATCAGGTTGAAATATATAAAGCCTAGCCTGTTAGCTTAGCCATGTTTTTATATAGCCTAACCTGTTAGCTTCACCCAACGTCTGCCTGTACGGCAGCTTCTCTTCTGAATGGATGTTTCCAATGTGGCTTCTTTTGCTCGACACAAGTCGAGGAATGAATGTAAACTTATCACCGTGGTAACAGTGGTTACATCACCTTTGAAAGTAGCTGCAACTCAACTGTGTGAGATGAGAAGAAGAAGCTGTGTAGCTGGTACATTAACAACACATTACATCTATTATTTCCTGAGATGTGTCTAAACTGTGGGTCGTGTTAAATAGACAGAACATTAATGTAACTGCTCTGTGACATTCATAATGTAAACATGAATGTTTTTAATCAGAGGAACAATTCATGGTATCAGTTCTCTGAGAACCTCATTCATATCCAAGAACAACTAATATCTCTGACTGATCAATATCGAATCAATTCAGGAAATCAGTGGCAATACCCAGCCCTGTTCAATAATCAGCTCATTGATTGATTAAATAATCTGCAGATGAATCAGTAATGAACATGTTTAACTGGTAGTTGAAGAGCTGAGGACCAGTTCTCACCTGTCCTGGCTGAAACCTTTAAAGCCTGATCTGGATCAGACTGCGGCTGGGTCTGATCTGTGTTGATGACGTGTGTTTGACTCAGGGTGGCTCATCCAGCATGACGAGGAGGAACACGTACGTCTGCATGGAGAGGAACTCGACAGACCGTCACTCTGTGGTCCACAATGGCAAAGAGAACAGGTACTGGTCTGAGGACCGGGATGAGAGACCACATCAGCTCTGACCCTGATCGTGACTCCATGACAGGAAGTACAGACACTCAGTAACCCCTCCTCCTTGCCCCCCTCCCTTTCAGCTCGGCGACCACACCCACCCAGAGATCTGTGGGCGGAGCTTCAACCCACAGCGTAAGCAGTGGAGCGACCCCTCCCGACCGGCTGCGTTTCCCTCGGGGGACGGCAAGTCGCAGCACCTTCCATGGAGGTCAGCTCCGAGAGAGACGCACCGCCACCTACAACGGCCCCCCCGCCTCGCCCAGCCTGTCACATGACGCAACACCCCTCGCCCAATCACGAGCCAGGGGATCCACCAACCTGTTCTCCAAACTCACCTCCAAACTCACACGAAGGTACGCCAGCACAAAGCATCATGGGAGGTGTATTTACCTGCTCCTTTTTCCACCTGCTCATTAACACTGAAACTTCCTCCCTTGTGTCCTCTTGTCCTTGTGTCTTCTTGTTCTTGTGTCCTCTTGTCCTTGTGTCTTCGTGTCCTTGTGTCCTCTTGTCCTTGTGTCTTCGTGTCCTTGTGTCCTCTTGTCCTTGTGTCTTCGTGTCCTTGTGTCCTCTTGTCCTTGTGTCTTCGTGTCCTTGTGTCCTCTTGTCCTTGTGTCTTCGTGTCCTTGTGTCCTCTTGTCCTTGTGTCTTCGTGTCCTTGTGTCCTCTTGTCCTTGTGTCTTCGTGTCCTTGTGTCCTCTTGTCCTTGTGTCTTCGTGTCCTTGTGTCCTCTTGTCCTTGTGTCTTCGTGTCCTTGTGTCCTCTTGTCCTTGTGTCTTCGTGTCCTTGTGTCCTCTTGTCCTTGTGTCTTCGTGTCCTTGTGTCCTCTTGTCCTTGTGTCTTCGTGTCCTTGTGTCCTCTTGTCCTTGTGTCTTCGTGTCCTTGTGTCCTCTTGTCCTTGTGTCTTCGTGTCCTTGTGTCCTCTTGTCCTTGTGTCTTCGTGTCCTTGTGTCCTCTTGTCCTTGTGTCTTCGTGTCCTTGTGTCCTCTTGTCCTTGTGTCTTCGTGTCCTTGTGTCCTCTTGTCCTTGTGTCTTCGTGTCCTTGTGTCCTCTTGTCCTTGTGTCTTCGTGTCCTTGTGTCCTCTTGTCCTTGTGTCTTCGTGTCCTTGTGTCCTCTTGTCCTTGTGTCTTCGTGTCCTTGTGTCCTCTTGTCCTTGTGTCTTCGTGTCCTTGTGTCCTCTTGTCCTTGTGTCTTCGTGTCCTTGTGTCCTCTTGTCCTTGTGTCTTCGTGTCCTTGTGTCCTCTTGTCCTTGTGTCTTCGTGTCCTTGTGTCCTCTTGTCCTTGTGTCTTCGTGTCCTTGTGTCCTCTTGTCCTTGTGTCTTCGTGTCCTTGTGTCCTCTTGTCCTTGTGTCTTCGTGTCCTTGTGTCCTCTTGTCCTTGTGTCTTCGTGTCCTTGTGTCCTCTTGTCCTTGTGTCTTCGTGTCCTTGTGTCCTCTTGTCCTTGTGTCTTCGTGTCCTTGTGTCCTCTTGTCCTTGTGTCTTCGTGTCCTTGTGTCCTCTTGTCCTTGTGTCTTCGTGTCCTTGTGTCCTCTTGTCCTTGTGTCTTCGTGTCCTTGTGTCCTCTTGTCCTTGTGTCTTCGTGTCCTTGTGTCCTCTTGTCCTTGTGTCTTCGTGTCCTTGTGTCCTCTTGTCCTTGTGTCTTCGTGTCCTTGTGTCCTCTTGTCCTTGTGTCTTCGTGTCCTTGTGTCCTCTTGTCCTTGTGTCTTCGTGTCCTTGTGTCCTCTTGTCCTTGTGTCTTCGTGTCCTTGTGTCCTCTTGTCCTTGTGTCTTCGTGTCCTTGTGTCCTCTTGTCCTTGTGTCTTCGTGTCCTTGTGTCCTCTTGTCCTTGTGTCTTCGTGTCCTTGTGTCCTCTTGTCCTTGTGTCTTCGTGTCCTTGTGTCCTCTTGTCCTTGTGTCTTCGTGTCCTTGTGTCCTCTTGTCCTTGTGTCTTCGTGTCCTTGTGTCCTCTTGTCCTTGTGTCTTCGTGTCCTTGTGTCCTCTTGTCCTTGTGTCTTCGTGTCCTTGTGTCCTCTTGTCCTTGTGTCTTCGTGTCCTTGTGTCCTCTTGTCCTTGTGTCTTCGTGTCCTTGTGTCCTCTTGTCCTTGTGTCTTCGTGTCCTTGTGTCCTCTTGTCCTTGTGTCTTCGTGTCCTTGTGTCCTCTTGTCCTTGTGTCTTCGTGTCCTTGTGTCCTCTTGTCCTTGTGTCTTCGTGTCCTTGTGTCCTCTTGTCCTTGTGTCTTCGTGTCCTTGTGTCCTCTTGTCCTTGTGTCTTCGTGTCCTTGTGTCCTCTTGTCCTTGTGTCTTCGTGTCCTTGTGTCCTCTTGTCCTTGTGTCTTCGTGTCCTTGTGTCCTCTTGTCCTTGTGTCTTCGTGTCCTTGTGTCCTCTTGTCCTTGTGTCTTCGTGTCCTTGTGTCCTCTTGTCCTTGTGTCTTCGTGTCCTTGTGTCCTCTTGTCCTTGTGTCTTCGTGTCCTTGTGTCCTCTTGTCCTTGTGTCTTCGTGTCCTTGTGTCCTCTTGTCCTTGTGTCTTCGTGTCCTTGTGTCCTCTTGTCCTTGTGTCTTCGTGTCCTTGTGTCCTCTTGTCCTTGTGTCTTCGTGTCCTTGTGTCCTCTTGTCCTTGTGTCTTCGTGTCCTTGTGTCCTCTTGTCCTTGTGTCTTCGTGTCCTTGTGTCCTCTTGTCCTTGTGTCTTCGTGTCCTTGTGTCCTCTTGTCCTTGTGTCTTCGTGTCCTTGTGTCCTCTTGTCCTTGTGTCTTCGTGTCCTTGTGTCCTCTTGTCCTTGTGTCTTCGTGTCCTTGTGTCCTCTTGTCCTTGTGTCTTCGTGTCCTTGTGTCCTCTTGTCCTTGTGTCTTCGTGTCCTTGTGTCCTCTTGTCCTTGTGTCTTCGTGTCCTTGTGTCCTCTTGTCCTTGTGTCTTCGTGTCCTTGTGTCCTCTTGTCCTTGTGTCTTCGTGTCCTTGTGTCCTCTTGTCCTTGTGTCTTCGTGTCCTTGTGTCCTCTTGTCCTTGTGTCTTCGTGTCCTTGTGTCCTCTTGTCCTTGTGTCTTCGTGTCCTTGTGTCCTCTTGTCCTTGTGTCTTCGTGTCCTTGTGTCCTCTTGTCCTTGTGTCTTCGTGTCCTTGTGTCCTCTTGTCCTTGTGTCTTCGTGTCCTTGTGTCCTCTTGTCCTTGTGTCTTCGTGTCCTTGTGTCCTCTTGTCCTTGTGTCTTCGTGTCCTTGTGTCCTCTTGTCCTTGTGTCTTCGTGTCCTTGTGTCCTCTTGTCCTTGTGTCTTCGTGTCCTTGTGTCCTCTTGTCCTTGTGTCTTCGTGTCCTTGTGTCCTCTTGTCCTTGTGTCTTCGTGTCCTTGTGTCCTCTTGTCCTTGTGTCTTCTTGTTCTTGTGTCTTCTTGTCCTCTTTCCTTGTGTCCTCTTGTCCTTGTGTCCTCTTGTCCTTGTGTCTTCTTGTCCTTGTGTCCTCTTGTCCTTGTGTCTTCTTGTCCTTGTGTCTTCTTGTTCTTGTGTCCTCTTGTCCTTGTGTCCTCTTGTCCTTGTGTCCTTTTGTCCTTGTGTCTTCTTGTCCTTGTGTCCTCTTGTCCTTGTGTCTTCTTGTCCTTGTGTCTTCTTGTTCTTGTGTCCTCTTGTCCTTGTGTCTTCATCGTCTTGTGTCGTTGTGTCCTCTTGTCCTTGTGTCCTCATGTCCTTGCTTCAGAGGGCCTTCAGAGGTTGAGAGAAACGGGAGACCTGAAGGGTCCAGGTGAGTCAGACAGGTGTTTGTGTCTGTCTCTGTTGTGTTGATTGTTGTTGTAATTCTTTTCATTCTGATTGGTTGAGAGTAGTGGACAGGTCCTGCAGCCTAGCCAATCAGACACTATCTCCACATGTTAGTGGTATTCCTCCAGTATCTTAGTAACCAGCAAACTAAAAGGACTATATGTCCTCTTACTGTTAAAAACATTGTTCAGCCCGTTCTGCTCTGCTGCTCCACATATTTCTTCAATATGCTCAATGTCAAAAACTGGATCAAACTCACACATATCACCAACACTGCTACCAAATGAATAAGTCTACCCACTCCCAACCTCTCAGAGCAAAACCGCAAGGCCAGCACATGCATCGCATATGCAATATCACAAGCCCCCACCCACCCACTCCACTGCCACTTCACTGTTCTGCCCTCCGGACGGAGGTACAGCACCCTGAGGTGCAACAGGGTCCAATACCCTCAGCCATAGCAGCCCTAAGTAAAGCTAACAGCTGAGGGAACTGTCTCAACGTGTGAGATGATGCGTCGAAAATAAATTCCCATTGGGGATAATAAACAAACTAACTAACACTTTGACAGAACTTCTTCACATTTGGCACAAACGTTCGTCTGGACTCAAGGATGAACTAATTAGATTTTGGGGGTCAAAGGTCAAGGTCACGGTGACCTCACAAAACACTTTGTAGCCATTACTCGGCAGAGGAGGTGATTCTAGTTTGTTGTGTGCTGCTGTGTGAACAAATAAAGTTCAAATATTGTGAATGTTAACACAACCCCTCCCCCCCCAGTCGGAACGTATCAGCTGATCAGAAGGAGGAGCCTGGTTCCCCTGCGCCCCCTCACCTGAAGGACTCGAAGCCCCGCTCTTTGAGGTTCACCTGGAGCATGAAGACCACGTCTTCCATGGAGCCGCTGGACATGATGAGGGAGATCAGGAAAGTTCTGGATGCCAACAACTGTGACTACGAGCAGCGCGAGTGCTTCCTTCTGCTCTGCGTCCACGGAGACGGACACGCCGACAGCCTCGTCCAATGGGAGATGGAGGTGTGCAAACTGCCCCGCCTCTCGCTCAACGGAGTGCGATTCAAACGAATTTCAGGAACGTCCATTGCCTTCAAGAACATCGCCTCCAAGATCGCCAACGAACTCAAACTGTAGAGACAGAGACAGATGGACAGACAGGTGGAAAGAGAGAAGTAGACGGAGACAGGTGGACATAGAGAGGTAGACAGAGACAGGTGGACAGAGACAGGTAGACAAAGAGAGGTGGACTAAGAAGGGTAGACAGACAGGTGCGGACAGACGGGTACACAGACAGGTGGACAGACAGGTACACAGACAGGTGGACACAGACAAGCTGACACAGACAGGCGGACACACAGGTGGACTAAGACAGGTGGACTAAGACAGGTGGACTAAGACAGGTGGACACACAGGTGGACACAGACAGGTGGACACAGACAGGCGGACACACAGGTGGACTAAGACAGGTGGACACAGACAGGTGGACACAGACAGGCGGACACACAGGTGGACTAAGACAGGTGGACACAGACAGGTGGACACAGACAGGCGGACACACAGGTGGACTAAGACAGGTAGACACAGACAGGTGGACACTGACAGGTGTGTGTGAGTTATTCAACATCTTCCTCTTTGTTCCTGGTTCACAGATGACATCATCATGACCTTCATGTTGATTGGTTCAGTTCAGCTGTTACTGCTCTGACATCACCCACAACTTCGACTGCTGCTCGATATCAATATTGATTGATTATTGGTTATTGATGATGATGACATCACTGCCTCTCTGTCATTAAACTGTCTGCCTTTCCATATGGGGTTTCCCTCAACTGCTCCCAGCACAGCAGGGGCAGCTCCACATCGCACTTGTGGCAAAGGATCATGGGACTTGGAGTCCGTTGTGAGACACAGGAACTGTTCTGTGATGTACATTTGTTTTATTTGAAAGAGGCTCTGCAATGACTGACCTGCAGGTGTTTTAGCCCCGCCCACCAGAGAACAGGTGAGGGTGGTGTGAGACTGAAGGGGTCACGTGTGTCCAGACAGTTTGGTGTGAGTCAGTGTTGTGAATGTAAATAGTTTGACAGAGACTCACCCTTGTTTTCATGTTGATTTGTTTCTTCTTTTGTACATGTGAGCGTTGGCTGAACGACGGCTGATCGTTGGCTGAACGACGGCTGATGGTCAGCTGAACGACAGCTGATTGGCGGCTGATTGTTGTTGTTATTTGTTAACTGAACGTCAGGTTCACCTGTGTCTCATTAAACACCTGCAGTAGCACAGTTGCCCGTGTGGATGGAGTTTTTTGTCAAACTACAGAAGCCCAGAAGGGTCAGGGACGGTTTCTCTGTCTGTGTTCTTGTGAAATGTCATCAGCCACAGACCAAGTACACATCAAAGATCTCAAGTGTTCTCGCTCTGCCCATCTTACCCACAATGCATGAGACAGCTAAGTATCCCAGAATGCATTTCACACCAAATAGCAACAACAGCAGCAACTCAGAGCCGGACTCAAAGCTGAAAAGACTGTTATTATATCACTTAAGTTTTCATGTTTTCTCTATTAACACTAAGTCAATTTATCTAAAAAGCATCTGTTTGGAAATCTGCTCTGGTGTTTTCCGAGATGTGAGGAGACGTGTGCTCTGCCGATCCGTGTGTTATCTCTGCAGCCCTTTGGTCAGCCCTGTTCCTCTGTCTGTAGTGTTTTCATACCTGATAAAATTTGATCTGAGCTGAAATATAATATTTGTTGCTGCTCGTCAGTCTGAAGATGAAGCTAAAAATATGTGATTTAACAACAGCTCTGCCCTGAGCTTCTGTTACAAATAAACCACATTTTAATAAGAATAAATATAAATGAGTTGAACAGAGGCAGCGCTCCATTTTAAACTTAGTTAACCTAGTTGGATATGAAGTGTGTATTTTACTGCTCTCTGTCTGGAGATTTGAGTTCAGATGAATGTGTCAGTACAGTCAGGTACAGGTGTGTTGAGGTGTAACCTGATGATATCAGGAAGTATGCTGCTGTAAATCGTCCTCCTGTCCTCACAGTCTGGACTCTGTTCATTGTATGAGAACATGATGTGGCTGACTGATGTTTGGATCACACTCAGGTGTCAGGTCCACCTGCAGTGACGACATCAGTGTGTGTGGTGACAGTAAAAAGGTACAGACTGAATTTATTCATCAGGTTTCAGCTCTGCAGACTGTCACAGTCCTTGAGGGACACAGGTAAGTCCAGCCTCCAGGTGTATTAATGACTTCTCTCATCGATGAGTGGATGAAGATTCACTGACATTTAAATACTCAGTTGCGTTTCAACGACTCAAACACATTGTAACATTATTTCATTATAGGAAGTTTCTATTGGTTGAGTTGATGATGTCAGTGACTCTAAGTCACCAGCAGGTGGTGTCAGTTCTCACAGCTGCTGGTTTGATTGATCCACGTGACTCTTCATCAGAGGAGTTCAAGGACTGATCTGAGGTCTGCTGTTATTCAGGTCTTGGTCTGGAGCTGCACTCTGTTCACAGGACTCAGTGAGTATGAGACTGGATCAGAGGCAGAGAACCTGAACCAGTTCAGTCTGATGAGTTTATATTTTATACGTTACTTTTCTCTTCCTGCTGAAACGTGACATAATAAATAATTAACTTAATGTGTGTGTGCGTGCTGAATGACGACAGGTGAGCGGCAGCATTTAGTTGGGGCCACAGAGACTTTATTAGATATTTCAGGTGTTAGATGAGTCCAACAGGTGGAGACAGGAAATAGAAAATCCTTCACATGTTGGAAGACTGAAGTCTAACTGAGCGGCTCTAAACGTCCTGTTGGTTCAGGACGGGTTCTGATTGATTACAGTGAGGGGGTGGGGGGGTNGCAGGTGGTGTCAGTTCTCACAGCTGCTGGTTTGATTGATCCACGTGACTCTTCATCAGAGGAGTTCAAGGACTGATCTGAGGTCTGCTGTTATTCAGGTCTTGGTCTGGAGCTGCACTCTGTTCACAGGACTCAGTGAGTATGAGACTGGATCAGAGGCAGAGAACCTGAACCAGTTCAGTCTGATGAGTTTATATTTTATACGTTACTTTTCTCTTCCTGCTGAAACGTGACATAATAAATAATTAACTTAATGTGTGTGTGCGTGCTGAATGACGACAGGTGAGCGGCAGCATTTAGTTGGGGCCACAGAGACTTTATTAGATATTTCAGGTGTTAGATGAGTCCAACAGGTGGAGACAGGAAATAGAAAATCCTTCACATGTTGGAAGACTGAAGTCTAACTGAGCGGCTCTAAACGTCCTGTTGGTTCAGGACGGGTTCTGATTGATTACAGTGAGGGGGTGGGGGGGTGAGAGGGGGAGTGAGGGGTGAGGGGGGGTGTCAGAGGTTACAGTGACACAGTTCACTTCTGCTCGGGCATCACGTCATCAATGCTCTCTCCAGCCTCCAGACGTTTCTCCATGTCCACCAGCAGGTTGACGCCATCCACCACCATCTGAACCAGCTCCACCTCCGAGAAACCCAGACGGTCTGCATTGGAGATGTCAAAGACTCCGCCCACTGCCGCTGTGTCCACGCCACCTGAGACACAAACAGGAAGTGATGTAACGAGGGCAGGTGAACAGTCGTCAAAACACCTGACTCTAAAACCTAACCTCGGGCCATCTGGAGGACTTGTGGCTGAGCTGATATCTCCTGCCGAGGCCCTCAACACCTGTCTACAGGTGCGAGGTCTGGATATTTGAATCCTGTTCCCTGATGGTCTGATGTTCTCAGAGGCACATACAGAGGTCACAAAGGAGACTGTGTGGAACCTGGTTCTGGAGATTTCCCCCTAGGACTCACAGGAAACCACTCAGAACAAACGTGTCTGTGCAACTGTCTACCTGTCATACTACCTGTCTCTCTGTTTACCTGTTCCTCTCTTCTGGAGCCTCAGCCTCTTCAGGATCTCTCCAAACTTCTCGTGCTTGCTGACGTTTGGCAGTTTGACGTGGACTCCAGCTCTCAGTCCCGTCCCCAGGTTAGACGGGCAGGTGAGGACGTAGCCCAGGTGTTCGTTCCACATGAACTCATGACCCCGCTCCTTAAACAAGGCCTCAATCTGTTACACAGTGAGAGAGTTGGTCAGGTGTGGACAGGTGGGATCAGACACTGCAGGACTCAGTAAGCAGAAGGCGGGATGCAGCCACTCACCTTGGTGAGTCCGGTGCAGAAGCGGGTGAACACCTCCCTCATGTTGCCTCCTTTCTGCATGCTGATGACGCGCAGGTGATCTTCCTCGTTCACCCAAACCAGGAAGGTCTTGTTGTCGTTGTGCCTGCAGGTCGACCAGAGAGTGAAGGGTTAATCACTGAGACTTTCACTCTGAATTGATTCACCTCTGAGGCTCAGTTTGCACACAGTATCTTATGATTCTGCTTCTTTTAGCCACTGTCTCTTTATTCCAGTTTATTCCTGTACAGTCTCATTCGTTCTGACTCAGTGTCTCGTCATTCTGACTTGGAGTCTCGTCGTTCTGACTCAGTGTCTGGTCGTTCTGACTCAGTATCTCATCGTTCTGACTCAGTGTCTCGTCGTTCTGACTCAGTGTCTCGTCGTTCTGACTCAGTGTCTCGTTCTGACTCAGTGTCTCGTTCTGACTCAGTATCTCATCGTTCTGACTCAGTGTCTCGTTCTGACTCAGTGTCTCGTTCTGACTCAGTATCTCATCGTTCTGACTCAGTGTCTCGTTCTGACTCAGCATCTTGTTCTGACTCAGTATCTCGTCGTTCTGACTCAGTATCTCATCGTTCTGACTCAGTATCTCGTCGTTCTGACTCAGCGTCTCGTCATTCTGACTCGGCGTCTCGTCGTTCTGACTCAGTATCTGGTCGTTCTGACTCAGTGTCTCGTTGTTCTGACTCAGTATCTCGTTCTGACTCAGTGTCTCGTTCTGACTCAGTATCTCATCGTTCTGACTCAGTGTCTCGTCGTTCTGACTCAGTGTCTCGTCGTTCTGACTCAGTATCTCATCGTTCTGACTCAGTATCTCGTCCTTCTGACTCAGTATCTCGTCGTTCTGACTCGGAGTCTCGTCGTTCTGACTCAGTGTCTCGTCCTTCTGACTCAATGTCTCGTCATTCTGACTTGGCGTCTCGTCGTTCTGACTCAGTATCTCGTTGTTCTGACTCAGTGTCTCGTTCTGACTCAGTGTCT